TAGGAACCAGTATAGATATTTCGATATGCTGGACCAGTTTTTCTGAAATGTACCACTACGTCAAGAAGCCATATCTTTCGAATGCATGAAAATTCTTAAATGAAGTTTGAAATCTATTGATGAAATTCGGCGTAGCGTCTGATGGTATGATCAAAAATGGAATACTACCAAAAGTATTAAAAACTTCCTGCGGCCTCAGAAAAATGCTTTTTTTGGCAAGCATCGACTACCCAAAATTCTTTGATATAAAGTCACTATTTGGGATCTATATAAGCCGACCATAAGTTTTATTTAGATCTCACACTCTAAAGTTGAGAGCTAGCATATCGAAATATCTATACTGGTTCCTACACTAATCTTACTCTTTAGATAGTTTACCATTGAAAATTATTTTAAAATCTTATACTGTCTTTTTTTGTTAAGATTATTAGGTAGTTCTGTCACTTTTCTTTTTTTTTGTAAAATTATTCATTTTTATGTAATGGATAATAACACCAATAGAAATGAATTAATTTCTCAAACTTATGTTTTTCTTTTGGAAAAGAAAACTAATTAACTGAGAATGAACAATTAGATAGCGAGCAACAAAACGCGATAAATTACTCTGCGACGAGCAGAACGAAAAAAATGCGACGAACAGAACGCGACGAAATGTCGTGCGACATTGTGAACGGTCACCCGAATTTATGAAGCATAAAACATGGACTTCGTAATTGACAGAAAATTGGAATTTTTAAGTTTTTTATGATTAATGCTTGCCAAGCCCAACTCAATTTCAGGATTGTCTTTTATGCTAGTGGATACCTGAAGATAGATTCGAAAAGAGTTTTCCAAACTGAACATAGCTGACATGAGAAATAGATACGAGGTCCATAACTATGAATGCTGGAATCACGTTAAAGTTCCATTAGAAATTTATGGCATTGACAAGAATTGGTTTTTCCCTATTTACATAAGCACATACCGAGCATCATTAGTTATCAACTTCGCATCCATTTTTCATATCAGTTGTGTTCAGTTTTGAAAGCTCTGCTTAAATCTATCTCCAGGTTTCCACTCACGAAAAAGACAACCCTGAAATTGAGTTGGAATTGACAAAAATTGGTCGAAAACAAGCTTGAAAATTTCAAGTTTTTTTCTATTTCAGATGAATTCCGAAACCTTTCTTTTATGTTTCATACATTCTGATTACATCTTCAGATAGAGCGAAAGCCACTGGTCTTGGCTAACATAAAAATTCACAGGCATTTGCATTCTTTATCAAGTAAAAATGGCATCTTTCATGCCGTCTCCCTGGAATTAACGCACCTCTAGTAACAATCAACTCATCCGTTTTATAAATGCCCTCATCCTGCTATATGTTATAAACACTATTTATTTCGATGATACGATCTTTAGAGTTGTCGCTTGAGTTTTAATACCATATTATAACTATTTTTTAAAATATGTCTGCACCGTTTTTAGATTTGTGAAAAGTATTATATATATATATGTGATTGTACAAAATTCTGATAAACGATCGACTGAAGATGGAATGTTTGTACTGGGTGTATTGTTTCGTCTGTTTTTTTCTCTTCTGTGATTCGATTAATTCAACTATCGTACTATACGATACAAATAATTACCAAGAGACACAGAAATATGACTGCATATACTATGATGGCGGAGGTGAAATTTTCTACAATAATATGGAATCAGTACAATCAATTAAATATTGTATCAGACCCGCTAGATTTGTGCCAATTCAACGAAATTATTCTCTCGGTTGTTTGAATAGAGGTATATTGATATCATTCGATGTTTTGAAACAGTATAATATTACTACACAACAACTATTGCGATGGCGCTCTGGTGTGAGTGCGATTGATCGGTATCGTGCTTATCTTGCAAACCATCCATTAGGGTAAGTGACCAAAAAACAACGAAAACACAATAAAACAATGTCATTTTTCTTAAAATTTGTAGAACTAACGAAGAAACAGAACATTTTATTTGTAATTGTACAAATATGAGAACTTTTGGTGTCTTATGTGAATATCAATTTTCACAAGTCAGTTTCGAAGCAACAATTCTCTCGCAGTATACACAGAAACTAAGATATCCACTGGGTAGTCAACTGTTCGGTACTACAACGTGTTATAAAACGTCATTTCCATGTGATTATGGAAAAGTCTGTCTTGATTGGCGAAATATTTGTGATGGTAAACATAGGGTGTTCATAAAGTTCCACCTTTAAAGTTTCTTCGTATATCTTTACTATTTAGTTTGACTTTATCGACCTTCTTTTTCACTGATAGTTGGATACACCAAGTTTTTAATCATATGAACAAACTTCAGAAGTACTGTTCAAAGCTATCATTTTGAGCTGAAATACAAAAGTTTAATAAGATGCACCGATTAAAGATCAGAATAATTGAAGAGTCTGAAGTAATTAAAAAGAAAACGTTGCATAATATTTTCCTGAAAATAGAAAAAAAGAATAAATTTTGTATTTCAGCTCAAAATTATAACTTTGAAAACTAAAAAAAATTGTTGATAAAGTCAAATAAAATAGTGAATATGTACTAACAAACTTTTCGGAAGAGAGTTTTTGAGCATTAGGTATATGTACGTTCATGTATCACGTTCAATTTCTTTCTTTGTTCATATTGTACAGGAAACCAACACTGTGTGGATGGAACCGACGAAGACTTCTGTGAACATTCGTTATTGAACGAGTGCAATCAAGAGAGCGAATATCTTTGCAAAAATGGAATGTGTATTGATGAAGAATACTTTCTCGATGGAGATATCGATTGTCAAGATCAATCAGATGAACAACGTCTTTCAATTTATGCTCTTACAACCTTATGCTTCGCTCGGCCCAAACTGGATTGCGATGAGAGAATATCAGATAGTAAAAGACTCATTTCTTGTGGTGATGGATCACACGTATCTGTTGAACAACAATATCGAGAAGTGCCAATGGTCAATGTTTTTGATACTTGCTACACATTTCGAGAGAGACAATGGAAATGTGAACTGAATAATCGAGAGATCATGTGGACAAATCCAGCGAATGGCCATTGTTTAGACTATGTTGATAACACCCACAAACGTGCTAAAAGAAAACAATGACTGTATCTTCATTCACAAATGTGCATTAACTAGACAAAGTCAACATTATTTGTGTCCATGTACAGGTAATCGTTGTCGTGCTTATTTCTATCTTTACTGTGGTTCAAATAATGTCTCACTATTTGCTTATCTATCTGGACGTATATTCACGCCATTTGTTGAGACTTATTATAAAAGCGATACGCACAATTTTGATGGCAATGTATGGCCAGATGTTTTTATTTTCACTCGTAGTATTAAATGTAATAGTGAAATACGAGCAACGCCGAATATAACAAACCAGAACGATTGGCTCTACGATGAATATGTAGTAACCCAATCTGCAAAAGTATATAGTGCGCATCCCTTAGAAGTGCTTTTGTGTCAGAGGTATGCATCGATCAATGCAAATAAAACGAACTATGGAAATTGTTGGAATGACTCGTATCCCAATCAAGCCAAGCATTGTCCAGATTCAATACCATATGGTTGTATCTCAAAATATCATGTCAAAGATGGCTCTCGTGATTGTACACGTGGTAAGAAATTCTCCATGATTCTCATTATTTTATATGAAAACAAAAACGAAAATGTTCTTCTAAGGCTGAAAATTTTTATGAATTTCAATTAAAAGATTCAAATGATCATAAGAATAAGAATTCATCATGATGAAAACACCAGTATAAAAGGATGAATCATAAAAAAAACTTGATATCTGTACAGCTCCAAGTATTCTCCGCATGCTATTACCCATTGCTCCTAGAAACTGATTCTTTGAAAGTAATTATTAATTTCATTTCGGTTGTGCAATATTAAATATCTCGATACATTTGTACCCTATGGTATTTGAGTCAGGTGAGTTAGACGGATGTTAATGAGCTCAGCTCCTCTGTAAAATCATTGATTACGTTACTAATTATTTCATATTTTCTTTGGGCTCATTGTAACGAAATATGGATAGAGGGTTTCGTCACTAATGCAGTATATTTTACTGTTGATCAACAATGAGAAACTGGAGGAGTAGCATTACAACTATAGTCAGTGTATGATATTCACTACACTACTCCATCCATCCAGCTCTGTTAACTTTACAGAGAACACGATCTTATGTAGGAGAGAGAATTGAGTAGAGAGAATAGTGCATCAAGTACAAAGCCAACAGACAGCTACTATCGGCCAAAACGTCTGAGTATCTAGTCAAATAGTGATCGATTGCTTTCACATCAATGAAGCGATAGAAAATGCACATAGGTCATGACTTTATTATCAGTACACTCACCATTCAAAAATGTTCTAATGTTCTTTCTAGCGGGTGATGAGACAATATATAATTGGTTTGAAGATTGTTCATCAATTCAGAAACATCGTTTTCGATGTTCAAAAACTGAACAAACTTGTTTGACAGCCTTGTCAATTGGAGATAATCGTGTCGATTGTAAGGAAAATAATCACGACGAATATTCTCAAGATCACAATCTTGAACTAAAACACCTCAAATGTGTTAGTGGAGATTCTGCCGATTGTATATTTCTTCGTCAATACATTGCGGAATCGCCGATCTTAGACACAAACACCACCGAATTGGTCGATAACTTGATCACATTCTGGAAACATTGTGATTCTTATTGGGAAAAGAGTTATGGTGCCGATGAAATTGACTGTCATCAATGGAGATGTCCATTACATTACTCCTCCCGACGATTTTATCAATGTCGAACAGGTCAATGTATTGTCGAAAATCTGTTGTGCAATGGGGAGTGGGATTGCTCAGATGGATCTGATGAAGAAGGCATTCAGTTATTAACAGAGCACACTATCGGTGAACATAATTTGAAATTATTTCAGCTACTAGGAACAAATTTAACCGCGCAGAAATGTCAGTGTTTGAAAGTGAATTCAGAACACCCATTCATGCAATTTTGTGATATCAAAACTGAATATCCTTGTCTGTTGGCGAATGTAGATGATGCATTGAACTTTGACTTAAATCGACCATGCATTAATTTAACGCAACTGGGTGATGGTCGTGTAGACTGTTATGGCGGATTAGATGAACGAAATATATTGAATTGTTCGTCGCACGAACAGCTGGGTTTTGGATTTAAATGTAATATCAATGATAGATGTATTCTACGAAGAAAACAATGTACCTCTGCTAATCGATGCTTTAATGGTAACGATCGTCTGCTATGTATCTATTTGTATAATAACTCAAATGCGAAATGCAATGGTCAGCAGTCAACCGCGACCGTAAAAGATGTTCATTGTCTTAATGGAAGCTGTTTACTAAATTCCAGATGTAATGGCTTGGCAGAATGCCCATTCGGAGAAGATGAATACTATTGTGCAACTGGAAGTTCCTTTGCAACAGGAACTTATCGACCGCGCATCAAGGAGTCTTATTTTCCTTCAATGAAAATACAACTACCAAATTATTCTCCATCTTCTTTCCTAGTAAATAAATCCGATGAAAACAATGACAAGAACAAGACGTTAAAACCACAGACATCAATGACTGGTAAGTCCACATTAGCAATACGATATATTTTGCTTAATTGATTTCTTTTGTTCATTGGTTCAGCTATTCAAGATCAAAGTTCGTCCACAAGATCATCTCGACAAAAAATGGCTCACCAGCATTCTGAGGAAGGTTGGATATGTAATCGTGGAGTTGCCGGGATTAAAAAATTGTTTGGTGAAAGCCAGTTAACTGTACAATGCTTTTGCCCACCAAGTTATTACGGCGATCGGTGTGAATTCATGAGTGACCGACTAACAGTGTTTATTCGCTTTGAAAATCAGAGTAATGCTTTGTCAAAAGGTATCATCAAAATATTAGCTCTACTCGTTGTTATCATCAATGATACAGCAACAGTTCTTGATCGCCATGAAGTTCATTTTACATCAGCACTTGACAATTTTAAAGAGAAACAGAAATTCTACTTGGTTTATCCTCGACCTCATCAATTACGATCAAATACACATCATTATACAGTTCGTTTTGAAGCATATCAATTGAATGAAGATGAGAGTATTGAATTTCTAGCTGTTTGTATCTATCCAGTTCCATTTAATTTTTTACCATCACAACGTCTCGCTAAAGTATTAAAATATATTCAACAACCACAACTCGAATCAAATCATACGTGCTTGTCAAAAACCAATCCATGTTTGAATGAAGGCAGGCGTCATCCAATTATGAATAAGTTGAGCGACATTCATTCATATTGGTGTGAATGTAGAAACAGTTCATACGGTTCTCATTGTGAATTCAAAGATGAATCTTGTTTTATCAGTTCAACAAAACTGTAAGTATAACATTATATTCTGATTATATTTTATTTCTTCCTCTTTCTATGAAATAATAACTTATTATAGCAACTATTGTTCTCCTATGGCATTGTGCCGTCCGCAATATGATCATTATGGACAGAAGCCACTATGCATATGTTCAATGAATTCATATGGTCCACATTGTTTTATTGATCGACAATGTCAGATGAAAAACAATCAAAATCCATGTCAAAATGGTGGAATATGCTTCACCAAATATCAACATCATAATTTGATTGATGCTTACATGTGCCAATGTCCAAAATATTATTTTGGTCCAATATGCCAATATCGTTCAGGTGCAATCGAAATTACCTATGATTCTGAAAATCGGTCCGTCACTTTGTCTGGTGACCAAATTACTGCAACAGTAATACAGTTATTCGATATTAATACTCGTGGAGAATTGAACTTAAAAAAGCAAGTCCTTTATAAAGATAGTTTACCTTCACATTTAATAGTTACTTCTGAGAGCATAATTCATCCAGTGTTTGGTTTAATTAAATTATATACCAATCAATCAATAATTCAGTATCATCTATTATATACTAGTTCAATTGCCGGATCGTCATTGAATCTGACTCTCAACTTTAAGAAAGAGAACCATTGTCCACATTCACATGACATCTTCAATTTGCGTAATGAAACATATCAAAGTAAGTTTTACTCATTGATCTCAGAACATTAGGAATTTAAAAAAAACCTCAATACTGTGCATGATAAAATTTTTTACAAAAAAGCGATGAGTAACGACAGTCCTGCAACAGGATACTTAAGATATTCCAAAAGTGGTGGTAATAACATTGTAGTATCGTACAGTAAGCTTGAAAATAACACTGTAATAACAAAAAGTAATCATATTTTACAAAACGATGGGTCTGGCAAGCCATAGTTGTCTTTTCTTCTTAAGCTATATGATTCTTAGTGAGAAGGATTATCTCCAGCGATCGTCGCCAATTTGGTATCGTTGACCTGAATTTCCAAATTAGTATACGTGATAAAAATATCTGTGATCACTGGAAAAGATACTTTTCACCATTACGAAATTTTCAAGCTCATTATGCTATACTAAAATGGCATTATCACTAATCTTGGATTATCCAAAGTAGAATGTCTTCTGATATGTGTGAGATAGGCTTTCAATCATCTCAAGCAAACGACAGTGTTATGTATTTATTTTCACGTTGATATGTGTAATGGTATCTTTATTATATTCCAATATAATACCGTAACAATATCTTTAACTTTAACCAACTATATATCAAGCGACTAGCAATATCTCTAACTGTCTTTTTGATCGTCTTCCGCCTTATCCTATTTTCCTTCTATATATATCTTGTTGCGCATAACTAAACTGCGCAATACAAAACATAGATTTAAGGACATAATCTGATCATATCCCTTTTAACTTTTAAAGATGAGAGAGAGAAATATAAAGATGAAAGGAAACGAACAAGAGTTGTTTGATAAAAATAAAAAGAACGAAAGTATAGAATAGAAACAAAGCATAAACTAAGGAACGACTAACAGAACGAACAAAATAAAGAAAACACAATATGTCTTATGGTATACCATTCACACCATAACAGACAGTTATATGATCCGAACGAAACATATGAAAAAACCCTCTTTATACACATTCTGACTATTTCTATTTTCATTTGATAGTTCGGAATGTTGTCGCCAAGTATCACACTTTATGTAACAAGACTACGTCTAAAGGTTCACCATTATTATGTTTTGTTGATGATGATTATTTCTGTCTATGTGATATAAACAATATTGCTCAGTGTTTTCCTTATAATAAAAAATTCGATCAATGTAAACAATGTTTGGCACAAGGTCGATGTATCAAAGGTGATATAGATACACCAAGTGATTATTTATGTCTGTCCTCCATGTCATTTCGGTTCAAAATGTCAACACAATACAAAGTTGTTCAGTTTCACATTGGACTCTCTTCTTAGTCCTGATTTGTTGTCATCATCACTCGTCAAACAAAAACTATCTTTAAATATGTATATCATTGTATCGGCACTGCTCTTTATCTATGGTACCATTAGTAACCTCTTTTCAATCATCACCTTTCGACAACCAAAAACACGGCTGGCTGGAACTGGTCATTATTTTTTCATTGGTACTATGTTCTCTGAACTATCATTATTTTGTCTTCTCAGCAAAGTCCTACACATTATCTTCAATATACGAGGACTCTTTATTCAACCGATGGTCAACACTGTTTTGTGCAAGACTTTGTCTTTTCTTTTGTCATCAAGCACTCGGATTTATTATTGGCTAATCGTTTTTGTGACTATTGAACGTATTTATGTGACAGCCTATCCAGCAAAACGATGGTTAAAAAAACCAAAAATTGCAAAAAAGATCATCGCACTCGTGATCATATTTACATGCGCTTCACATGAACACGAATTGATTAAGTACACCATTGTGGATGATCCCAAATATACAGAAAGCGGTAATTAATCATTTTCTATTGAGTAAATGTTTGTGATATATGATATAGGAAAATGGTGTGTAACACAATTGAGTGATTCTCTCCAAATCTATAATCTAACAAATACAATGATTCACTATTTAACTCCATTTCTTCTGAATCTTATTTGCACAATCACAGTTCTGATTCTTATTGGTCGTACTCGTGCAAAGGTGGATAAAAAGAAATCTCGTTGGAAAATACTTCAGGAACAATTCAAGAAAAAGAAGGGAATGTTCATTCCATCACTGACTCTCATTATTACTGCTTTTCCTCATCTCATTATTTCTTCTTCACTCGCCTGTAGTGATCTCGATACAAAATGGCAGCGCTATATACTCATTATATCGTATTTCTCTGCTTACATACCATATAGCTTAAGCTTTCATCTTTATGTTCAACCATCGAAATTGTTCTCGCAAGAATTCTATGCAACAAAGTTGGGAAAGATACTGAAACGATAATGAAAAACAATAAATTGACAATAACCTGCTTTGCATTCATAAACTTTAAAATTAACCTCTATATCTATCTAGCTTATGTTCGATGGATGTCTGCGCTATTTGTTCACAAAAATAAAACTACATCTCTCATACTATTTCAATCAATGGATGTGCTACCCAAAAAACCTTGCGAATCATTGCGCGTAAACCATACACATATGCGATAGAGGGTGTGTTTGTAATGAAAACGAAAAGCCACGACTAGTTTCGACCTTTCTCGAAGGTCATCATCAGGTAGATTTTGCTCTGCATTGTCTTAAATAGTTTTTCTTTACTATTGAAAGAAATCAATTCCAATTAATCATAAGAAATTAATTAGAAAGAAAACTTCCAAACTCATTTCAAGAAATAACAATTTAAGTTCAAAGCAAAGCAGAAGTATTAGCAGTAGTGAATGTGGTCCAAACAGCAAATTTAAGAAGTGAAGTAAAAACGATTCAAAATGTGCTTAGAAACGTGGATCAAGCAACACTGAGTAATCAGGCACAAATTCTACATCTCAGTGAGGGCCAACTCAAGTTGGCACTCGAACTAAATAACACGCAAGTCGCCTTAAACAAAACTATTGCACTAGTTAACGAACATGCTAGTATTGTCAGACAACAGGAAGACGCTTTACGATTAGTTCTATCACAAACAGTCTTCCTGAGCACCCGACTAGCATCGGTAGTGCACTCAATAGAAACATATTTTATTCATACATCAATTGAAAAAATATTATCCAATGAACTAAATTTACTTTTCGTACACCGACAAGATATATCGAAAGTAGTGGATTCGGTATTACAGACAATGGATATTACCGGTGATGAAATCGGAAGTTCATTGCCCACAATAGAAATAATCACTCAACTGCTCGTTCGACAGCAAATAGATTTCGTACAAACAACAACGGCGGAATCCGCGGACGATACTTCGCTAATTGGAAAGTTAATGTTTACGTCGTTTTCCGCGGCACCTAATAAAAATCAAGCGCCGTTCGCGGTATACGAATTAATACCAATACCATTTAACCAAAATAACAAGCGCTTACGACTAGCGCAAATGCCAGCATACCCGGGAATTAATTCCAAATCACACCAACTCGTTCGTTGGTCCAAAGAGGAAGCGGCAGCTTGTGATTTTTTGCAAATGACGACTTGCCGAGAATCTCCAGTGAGGCGGAAGGAAACCCAAAATGATTGTATTTATCAACTACTGACCGACGCAAAATTAGAAGATTGCCGGGTGGAATACTTTGCTGGCAAATTGTTCGTGCATCGCGTCGGGCAATATTGGGCCATATCTACTATCAATGCCACCAAATGCCACACGGTTGCAACACCAGAAATAGAACAACACTTACTTCACGGGAATGAAGAAATTACTATATCGTCAATGGCTTTAATCACCACAATGAATGCGAAATCATTGGCGTGTGATTGATTTTCCTTACCCGGGACGCTAGTGGCACGTGGCGAACCAATACAACTGATATACAACGAGTCGGTCAGTCCTTTGAATAAGGACCTACTGGATCTACAGGCAGCCCTAGCGAATGAATCCCATTGGGAGAAGTTGCCATATTTTAGTTCAGAACTTCAAGCAGTCATAGATTACATGAAAAATACCCCAAAAAACACCTATAAGGGAGGATTATCAAAATTGGGGAGAACATACCACTTTGTATGGTACCATCATTATGATTGGCATAATTATTGCCGTGGGTATCGTTCTCCTGTGCTACATTCGAACCAAGAAATCGGTGGGCACCAACATCAATACTACGATGCCTTCAATGAGAACACTAGCGACTTTACAAGACCAAAGTTAATCAACATCGGCTGGAAATTTTTTATTTAGTTGATCATATATGCTTATCTCTTATGCGTATTATGACAGTTTTTTTTTCTTATTATTGTTTCACACAACGTGTAACTTGAGCATTTACTACCCATTGTGTGTGTAAGTGTATGCATGATATATTTCGAATGCGAAACATATAGACACTCAGGAGCGCGTCTCATCTGAGTGTGAGGGTGTGCCAATATTCGATATTCTTAGATATTCAGAAAATCGTGTGTACCTTTTTATGAATGATACACCCCTCCTGATTCAGATATCTACGTTTCCCCATTGGGGAATTTCCTCTTATTCTTTATATGGATAATTAGAGTAGTCAACAAGAACGATTAGATATTACGACTGTTACAGAAGCATTAGTGCAAGGTTAAGTCATAATAGGAAAGAATATCCTCTTGATACTATTAGTGCGTCATCCGATTCAGTATGACAAGAGCAGGCTCAAGAGTTCATGTCAATCAATGAAATAATCGAAATGGTCTAGGTTATTCTTTATTTAGCTCAGAATTTCCTTTTTTAGCAATAAATGGATATACAGAAGGAAATGGAGAAAGAAAAGAGCGAGAATATAAAAAGGACTAGAAAATAGTAGGATAGGGAGGAGATATATAATTTGGAGTAGGATTGAGAAGCTGGGGGATAGTTAGTTAAGGAAAAGAGTTACTTAGTTAGATATATTAAGTAGAAGTTACAGTTCAGAATACTGAAACGGTTATCGTTCAACATTTACTATTATTGTCAGTGTTGTAATCTTTTATCAATTTTATGTCAAATTATTATTAATTGTGTGTGCTCATATTATTATAAAAATAAGCATCATCAAAACTCGTAATGTTATATTTTGATTTATCAATTCACCCAGAACCAAAGAATAATAACTCACCAAATATTTTCGTTACACACTAGTTGTGGTAGAAGTAGTCCTAATCGTTCAAATGTTTGTCCTTGTGATTCGTTGATGGTCATAGAAAATGAAAGTCGAATGGGGAATTGATGTCTGCGTAATTTAAAGGGCAAAAATATATCAGATGGTGTCATTGTAATTCTAGGTATTATAACTCGGCTTCCCTTATTAGATCCTGTTGCAACTTCACAATCAATCGTATGATTTTGTAATCGCCGTACGATGAGTCGAATTCCTTTGCATAAACCTTGCTTTACGTCGAGATTGTGAAGAAGCATTACAATTGCGCCAGGCTTTAATTTAAGTTTATGAGGGGGCATTCCTAATGGTGTGAGGCTATTCAAAAATTCCGTGGGATAGTTGGTCACGTCATCACCATCTTCACATTCTACGTCATCCACACTTGTGTATGTTGTTTCTGTACCAGGTAGACGTTGAAGAACTTCTTCATTGACAAGGAAAGAATGTTGATTTTTGGGACAGAGTATTGTTCTGTTGTATAGAGTTGGAATATCATTGATGGAAATGTGCTGGCCAAATATCTCGTCGACCAAATTACCATCAAGCATGCGGGATCTAGGCAAGTCGATTTCATCGTATTCGTTTGATGGCAATTCACCATTGCCAAGTTGAATTAACCACTTTGAGAATTCTTCTTCACCTGGTCCTGTTCTCATGTTTTGGCTAAGATGTATGACCTTGAAACTAGACAAGAGATCAGAACTTTTGAGACTTGCTGCAATCAATTCCGATCTATTTCCGAATCGAGTAACTGGTAGGACTTGACGAAAATCACCACCGAGTACCATAATTTTTCCTCCAAAAGGCAGATTAATGTTCATTATATCTCTTAGTAAGATATCAACTGCCTTTAGAGCATATGATGGAGCCATTGCTGCTTCATCCCAAATAAAGACTTCTGCTTTTTTAATTTCTTCAGCTTCCTTGCTGTGTGGTCGAATACTGGATGTAGATGTTTCTAGGATAGATACTGGAAACTTGAAACGACTGTGTACCGTTCTTTCTTCCGGCAATAGACCTGCATCAATTCCTGTCCATGCAACTGACATAACATAGATGCCTTGTCCCATGAATAAATGGTACAGAGTGTTATAAAGGTGAGTTTTTCCTGTACCTCCAGGCCCATCTATGAAGAAACATGTACCATTATTTGATTGTTTATGATGAGCTGCAAGAACTTTATCGGCTGCTGGAAGTTGGTCTTGATTCAACAGTGCATACATTTCTTGTCCTATCCGAAGTTCTGCTTTCTTGTTAATAATTTTTGATTCAAATTCATAAGGAACTGATATTGGCGATGGTATACCAAATTCACTACATCTTCGACCATGTTCTTCCAGCTTTTCTTCAATTGAGTAGAATGTCATTGCTTCTACTGTTTCAGCATCAACATGCTGCATGAAGTCTTCAGTCATATGTCCTTTAAATGAATTCCAGAGATTTATTGGTTTTGTTGGGTTACAATATAAGAGTATCACACAGAATAATGTTCTTAGCTGTTGTGGCACCTGGAAGAGTACTGCTTCAGTCAAACATCTTTCGTATTCAGTATCATCATGTAATAAACCTCGTCGTCGAGCAGCTTCTATAAATGTTTGACAGAGTTGCCCATGTAAAAAAAATCGCAGAAAATCTAATTATAATCGATTTTTTAGGAATTAATAATCTATTATAATGGCACTATTATAACCCTACTTTAATCATTATTTCAACTAAAAAAATAGAGTATAATAGATTAAATCACAATCTATTATAATTGATTTATTCTACATCAATTATAATCTATTTTTTTAGTTGAAATAATGATTAAAGTAGGGTTATAATAGTGCCATTATAACAGATTGTTAATTCCTAAAAAATCAGTTATAATCAGATTTTCCCGTAACCGATTTTACTTAGACTCTGACAACATTGATTTCAACCTATTATAACTCTGCATACCTGTTAATCAATTGTAATACTATCCTTAGCATTCAGTTCGTTTTCATCAACGCTACCCTTTTAATCCATGTAAATCTATTACCAACTTTCAAGCTATTTTTATCTCTTACGATATACGAATTAATTTTAATCGTTGCCAAATTTTTAATTGATTACAATCTATACTCACATATTAATCAGTTATAACTGATTTTTACGTTTAATTATTAATAATCGATTCTTACCTCAACAAACAATTCTAATCAATGTTTACCTGTGTCATCAATTTTAATCGATTCTTACCTCCATAATCCATTATAATGATTCATACTGAAGATTTGCTCTTTACTCGAGATTCGAACGCACAACCCTTAAATTTCAATAATTTTTTGGGATTCCTAACCTTCACAAGTCAGGCTTGTTATAGACAAGTTGGAACCCCTATTTAAGCTGTTCCAATTGAGATTACGCAATTACATAAAGCAATTAAAATAGATTAAGATATATTTAATCGATTAAAACAGATTCCGATATTTCATCCATTAAAATAGATTGACCTGATGTATTTTGTTGTAATCTGTTCCTACACCGAATTTAGAGCAGTGAGAATGATTAGCGGCACACTTCACGTGTAGCAATCATTGATTTTCTTTTACTTCAAGATGGCAAACAACACACAAACGTTACTCCCAAAAGACCATTTCCTAATCATAATCTGCTTTAAAATGATGAACTATGTGTTTGGTAGGTCACCGAAATGTAGGCTGATATTGCAAAAGAGTAAAATCTGGAGAATCATAGGGTAGCGCCCTCTATCAAGTAAAAAGTGCGATGATTTTATTTTCACAAATTTTCTCTTTTTTTCAAATGTCTGTATCGGCTTTTTGAACTCGAGCTATAATATAAGATACGAAAAAAATAAATATTCAGAAGTTATGGGTGATCTTTGAGCATTATTTACAAGTGGACAACGAATGGAAGAGAACTTTTGTAAAAAGAATAGTGAAATTTCGTTCACTTAAGTATGTACACAACTAACATAGACGATAACCGTCGTCCATTTTGTCTTTTACATCATTAACTAAACGATCACATGTAAGAATGTGTCCATTACAAAATTGTATATCATACCCAAAGAGTGTGGTGTGCTTAATAAAATCATTAAGTTTGCACTTAAATGATTTTTTTATCTTCAGATAATTTTTAATCATTTTTGGTTCTCATGGTTTCGAAAAATACCGCTAAAGAAAAGAAAGGTGGTGGTGTGCGAGAAAAGCAACGTGCAGAAGAAAAAAGTGAACAAATGGTATTGATACGTGATGAACACTCTAAAAAAAATAGGCTCTTTCCCGAACCCCCGAAAAAGGTTCCGTAGATTTGGAAAAGCTTGCAAATACATTCAAAAGCTAAAAAAACGATTTTTAAGTTCTNAATGCTCAAAAAACGATTTTTCAGTTCTACGAAACTTTTAAAGGTTCTTCCCGTGTGCCCAGGGGAAGAACTTTTAAAAGTTTCGTAGAACTGAAAAATCGTTTTTTGAGCATTTGAATGTATTTGCAAGCTTTTCCAAATCTACGGAACCTTTTTCGGGGGTTCGGGAAAGAGCCTATTTTTTTTAGAGTGAAGTATCTCAAACACTGGTGATTGTTAGTGCTCAGGAGGTATTATCTGTAAACAAAATTTCAAAGGTAGATATGGGTATGAAAATCACATGCTATGATGATTCTGATGAAGAAATTCTTGGTCCGATACCAGCCATTGGTTAGTATAAATATGTTTTGATTCATAATATAAACTATATATATATATGAGTGAATTGCAACTTTTTGGTACGATTGACTTTTAGCTGCATTTTTTGAATAACGTTTTTTCTCTTCAGCCGATTTGGACAATTTTTTTACAGAATAGTCACCCCTAAGTGTCCCACTTCCATACAAAATTTCAGTCATCTATCTCATACTATAGGTGACTTATGAAAGATACATTGCAAAAAAACCATCATTTTTTGATGACATGGACCAAAACAGAGAATAATTTGACTATAAGAAATTAAGAAGGAATAAATACGAATATCAAAGTTTGTTCACCATTCAGCCTTCTATTGAAATAAGTTATTAATTTAAGTTTTATCTATCCTCCATTCACTTGTCTAGCGCTCATATAGTTTGACAGACACTTATGTATTTTTGTGTAGAGCGACATAAATACTACTATATCTTCTGCTGTTGTAGAGCTATAGGTTTCCAGGCTATATGAAAAGAAAGAGAACTTTTCAAGTAACAAACTAGTGAAAAAAGGTTTTTATTTATCAGTTGTATTTCTAACCGAAAATAGCAGAACTTTTGAAAAAAAAAGATCGTTATACTCACTTGGTAGAGCGACATTTTGAAGATTGTGTACTCTATATGTCTCCAATGAGTCGTTCGATTTGGCTCAAATTTTTAGCGACGATAGAAACCAAAAAGTTCTATAAGAGGTGAAAATTTCAGTTATTAATCATGTACTGTGCAGGAGAAATTTGCATTATATTGAAAAATGTAGAGCGACATTTGTGCGTTCTATAACTCTCCAATGGATCGCTCAATTTGGCTTAAATTTTCAATGAAGATATAAACCAAAAAGTTCTATCAGTGATATAAATTTCAGCCGTTAGCTATGTACCGTTCAGGAGAAATTTACATTATACTGAAAAATGTAGTGGCATTTTTCGTTGAAACAACGTTTTTTATAGTACCTTTACATTGAAGTAAGCCGTATCTCAGCCAATATATGATAAAGTGTTGGGAAACTTTTTCTGTGTAACACAGACATAGATTGTAATAAAATGCACTGCTCAGAAACTATTTAAGTCTACTTTCAGTTTTTCCCACCAATCGTACCAAAAAGTTGCAATTCACTCATATATATTCTGATCTAAAAGATCAATAAATAAAATATCTAATAAGGAAAATTCAAATTATTTTTGAAAAAAATTCAAAAGTAATAGAATTTCTTATATCACACTGGGGTTGGATACTTAACCGCTGTTACATATGAAGAAGAATTTTTGTAAATGCACATGAAGTTTGTTCTTTAAATGCATTTGTATGTTCAAGGTATATATATATATATTTATTTGAAATTATGACGTATCGACGAACTTTGTTGAAAACAATAATGGTTTAGCAAGAAGATATTGAACGACATTGGGTTGCCTAATAGTTCATAAAGAAACACAAGATTAGAGACATTGTAGAGCCTATAAGAGAAAATGAAAAATAAAAGCATAATGAATATGATCATTATAAAAAAAAAGAAACAGAAAACATTTAACAAGTATATGCTGAGATTCAATGAATAAATCCACGTTGATTAGATTTATATTCATATTATGAACTTATTTCACAAAAAAAAATATAAGTGACTTGATCAATAGAGAGTGAAGTCGATATGTAGATTGAAGAAAAAAAATGATAGGGTGTGGGGTGTGGAGATAAATTACCACTATAATTTTTGAATTTCAAAAGAATTATTTCGATTCTTTTTAAGAGAATCTCATCAGGTGGCTATATATTATATTATTGTAATGATCAAAATAATCAAAAAACAAATAATATAATCTCTTTTATTAAAGAATAAATTTTTAATAAAAATATTCTTTAAAAATTGTTAAAGAGTGAGATAAATTACAAGATTATTTTCATACTCACCTTTTGTATATCAACCAAAATATACTCTTGTAGATATATTCGAAGTACCTTGTAAGTCTTCAAAATATTTTATATGAAAAAATGCTTTTCTATTAGCAAATATTTTTCTTACTAAAACTAAATGTTTATTATAACTCTATACTATTTCATAAATCACCTAAACGTATGTCTTCTAATTATTTTACATAAAAAAATAGTGTATTCATTTTTTCGAATTTTTGAATTTTCATCCATTACCTAATATGTGATGCATATAATAAAATGATTTAAATAACATTTTATATATCTTAAAACAGACCGCTTTAAAAACGAATCAATTCAATGCTATTTCTTTTGCTTCAGTTATAAAAATGTATTCATTCTCACTAATATAAAACACAGTTCATTGTAAATCTAATACGTTTTATAAGAAGTACATGCATTAATTCTTTATTTTTCCAAAAATATTCTCATTTTTATATACTATAAAAACATGATTTATGAAAAGTTTTATCTGCCCATATGATTAAGCTTGTCTATGATTACATGATATAATTTTAGTATTTTAGTTTTTTCTATTCACAATCTCCATAAGTTCTTATGTTCGCACATATACTATTTGTTCAATCAACTAACTATCACTAACAGACGAGAATATTTTCATTAAATTGATTTAAACATTTCAATAAAAAATATACAAAAAATTATACAATTTATTGATTAATTTCTCTCTATTAGTTGTATTACATTCAGATTCATTATCAATTCATGAACAAAATTTTTATAAATTTTATGGAAATGATCTACCAACACCACCAGAAATTGTTCATACATTTCAACAATTTAAAGACAATCTTCAAAATCGATTCCGTTTTGATAAAATTTCTCAATTCATTGATTTCAGCCAATTTACTTTGGCCGGCGGTTCAGTTCTTATGAGTCTATGGCAAAATACTACACAATATGTAAATTCTGATCTCGACTTTTTTTTATATCGGTGAAGGTTTTAAGAATTTCATCGCTGCATTAGTACGACACACTAAAATTTAAGCTATTTCATTTTTTCATTTGTTTTCTTCATAGACTAATGTATATGAAAATCTTTGCAACTTCTATTTTGTCAAACACAGAGTTTTATCTTTCAAACGTGTATATGAATTCGAAATTACTTTAGCATCTACTATATACGAAATAATAAATGATCCAAATATACGTAAAAAAATAATCGTACAATTCATTTATCATCCAAGTGTAACATCCATTGAAACATTTCTAATGAGCTTCGATTTAGATATAATTCAAATTTGTTTTAACGGTGAAAAGTGTTATCTACATGGGCGTGCATCCGTGCATTAAATACAGGCACATTCATCTGTTATAATTTAACGAATAATTTAGAGACACTCGTTCAAACTGCAATACGTATTAGAAAATATTATCTGAAAAATTTTAAATTATTATATCCTCACGATTTTTAAATCGACGATTTTTTATCTTTAACAGTATTTCAGATAGGACATACACAAAATCCTAATTATTATCCATCAACAAAAGAACAATTTGGAAGTAATCATGATTATTTTCAATTGCAAAACAAATTTGTCGACACATACATCAATAAACGATTTTAAATAATTCTATAAATTGAATTAAATCAAAATTATACGTACAATACTATTAATTTATAATATTCATAGGACGCCAAATTTATTCCAAATAATACGTTAATTTAATAAAAATCATCTTTTGATACTGTCGAATTAGAATATATTTCTTTTTTTTGTTTTTCTTTTCAAAAATATATCATCCTCTTCCCCATAAAATCTATTTCTGTGCTGATTGCCGATATTTAGATATAAACTTCTACGATCTTCTAATAATAGTGTATGTAGAATATCTATCTGCAACTTCCACCTATATGAAAGAAAGTTTCGTTCTTTTAACCATTAATCTTCAAGACATATATGCTTTGAAACTTATACAACATATTACTTTCAATCAATTATCAAAACATAAAAAATACTTGTTTATAACAATCCATATTTATTGAGTTTAATAGTCAAACTACTATTAAAACTTACTGAATCTACAATACGAAAACAAATTCTATTCATTAAAATTTAACTAATTCTTTTCTTTTCATCAACATATTTTATCAATTCCAAATACATAACTGCTACTGATCATTACAAAATTGAAAATAAAAAATATTATTTTCTCATACTCAAAAAATTGCCAGTTATATATATTCTATAGCATTATGTTCTTTTAAAACATAATTACAAAAGAATTTTAATTCTCCGCATTTCATAATCACAACTACTACTTTCATTCATTCATTTCTAATAATATAAAATAAAAATAGATACCTGTTTTTTAAATTACTTATATTCACTAGAAAGTACATTATAATACTTGTTTCAATAAAATGAAAAACTTATCGCTAAACAAAAAATTGACAATTCTGATAATCAATCCATTATTGTAACATTATCAATCTACGAATAATTTATCTACGTTATTTTCACAATATTAATTATACGATTCTAATAAAAAAAACAAAAATTTCGTTCAACAGTTACACTAAAATTACATTTAATTCCTATGCATCTGCATTGAAACAGAAATCTATTTTAAACAAAGCAACAGATATGAAACAAACTAAAACTAAATAAAAACACCAATAATTAAAAATTCATCTCATAAATTTTTTCTTCAATCATTCATTTTGCATTCAAAATAAATACATATCAATGATGTATAAAAGTCATTCCGCCCATCTCTTTGCTACAAACATTTAAGCTACGCCTTTTATCTTAACTTATATTCACTTTCAACATTATATACTGAGTCATTCAATCACTGAAAAAAAAAGGTACCGCACGAAACTAAAAAATGGTTTCGAGATTTGACACGAATTCTGAACCTTTTTTTAAGTTCGTATGAATAAGGATTCGTACAAAACAATTTTTGTAAACCTGCGAAAAAGGGTTCTGTAGTTGAGGTTTCGTACAAACCTATTTTTCACAATTGCAAAAAGGGTATCGTACCTAAAGTTTCGTATAAATCTATTTGTTACAGTGA